GAATTGGAAGAAGGAAAGAAAGAAGAAACAGGTGATCTCAAAGAATTGGAAGAAGGAAAGAAAGAAGAAACAGGTGATCTCAAAGAATTGGAAGAAGGAAAGAAAAAAGAAACAGGTGATCTCAAAGCAATAAACGAAGTAAAACAAAAAGTAATAGATTATCTCAAAGAATTGGAAGAAGTAAGACAAAAAGAAACAGATTATCTCAAAGAATTGGAAGCCAATCTTTACCTGAGTCCAGTTGGAAAATGTTATGTTTGTGAAGAAAGAGCTAAAATATACTTCAGCATATACTTATGTTACGATTGCAAAAAAAAATTTGAAGAACTGGTTAGAACGGGGCCTACAGTCTTCTGTGAGGTTGGATGTCCTAAAAATTGCTCTTCCTGTCTTCTTTCTATTGTTTTCCAATACTTGAGACTGGAAGATATTCCCAGTGAGTGTTTTTTTATTACTTGAGATTGCTTTATTTCTTTTAAAAAATGTATTAATACATTTCTTTCATTCATAGCTTATAGAGAAATCAATTTCTCTTCAGAGATTTTGAAATCGTATGTAAATAAAGGAAGTAAACACATGGTAAGTCATCTAGAATTAGTGTCAATTTTTGTTATCAGAAAATGTGAATTTCACAGATTTGAACAGAATTTTGTGTGTTCCTTCGCTTACTTTGAGATCAGGTACAACTCTTTTTTTTTAAATCTAATGAAAGATCCTATATACAAAGAAAGAAGAAATTTGAAATGTAGTTGCTGCTGTCTGTCTTATATTAATCTGAAGAACAGAGTGAGATAGATGAAAGATGAGACTAGATATGGAAAGCTTAGTGAAAGGAGATTCCATTTAACTATATATCAACTTCTGATGCAAACTGGAAGTCATGTTATTTCAATTCAAAAATGTCTTCCTGTAAAAAGTTAATGACAACACAACTTTTGCTAACAGGAAAAGTATGATGTACAGGGGCAAGAAGGTACTAATTTGAGATTGAAAGCATATATTTTAAATTAAATAAATTTTAAACTTGGAGCTTGGAATTGTGACAATGTCACAATAAATAATTGCTCATATGTTTTTAGTCGTTTTTTTTTCTAACCAATATCAATTCATAAGATTTTGTTATTTGAAACCAGGGCTGTGGAATCGGAGTCGGGAGGAATTTCTGGCCAGAGGAATTGGAGTCGGAAAAATGTGTGTCGACTCTGACACCCACATTTTAAATTTACTTTAGTTTTTTATTTAAATGAAAGAAAATTTATTATATATTTATTAATTTTTAAAAATCTTTTTATATTTTGTAATAATTCATTTATTTTAAATACAAAATACATGAATTTAATTTATTAAATTTGTAGTGTTCATTGTAGTATTTGTGTTTAGTAGTAAAATTATTTTGACCCAATTGAATTTAAATATTTTGGATCATCCTTTTATCCCTGCTCTAAATAAGTACTCTATTTTTCTGAATGAACCATACTAATTGATCAGAGTTCATATTTTTCTTTTCTGAACAAGGGGCTGAAATAGCTAGATCGCACACTTTTTAATTGAACTAAGGCAACATTCTATGACAAGGGGATGCAAAAGCTCATCCAAAAATATGAAAAATACCTCAATCTTCACGGTGATTATGTCAAAAAGTAACCAAGTCTGTACCGAACCTTTGGTAATAAATTTATTTTGTTACTAGCTGACCCGGCAAACGTTGTTTTGCCATATAAATTATTTCTAGGTAATTTCTAGTGTAGACAAAAAATAACTAACTTATTGTAAGTGTGTAAGGATGTGGTATATGCGTGAAATAGGCATGGAGCGTTGTGAACGATGAGGGAATATAAAAATAACAAATGCCAATCATTATTATTTTTAAGTTATTATAATTTATTCCTTAAAATTATATATCATTAATCAATTACGACAGTAACACTAACAAACAATATCAATTTCTTAATGCTATAGCGTGAACAATATTTTTTGTTAGCCCATCTTTAGCTAACACAAACAAACTGGATGGTTTACCCACTCGAGAGCATGCCACGTATAATTGTCCGTGTGAAAAACATGGTGTGCTCAAATCTAAGCCACAAATAGACATCGTTTGGCCTTGGGATTTGTTGATAGTCATTGCAAATGCCAATCTAATCGGAAACTGAATACGTTTGAATTGAATTGGCACATCTGTAGGTATAATAGGAATCCGTGGTATTAATATATTTTCACCTCGGAACTTGCCATTTAAAATGCTGGCTTCGATAACGTTTTTCATTAATTTTTGAATGACTAATCGCGTACCGTTGCACAGCCGTGGCGGGGTTCAAATTACGAAGCAAGATAATCGGAGATCCAACCTTCAATTGTAAATTATGCGGTGGCATGCCTGGCAAATCCAGTGAGTTCAAAAACTCTGTGGAAAAATTTACAGCTTCGCTGGCATTGCAAACTGTATCAATATATTTGTATGATACCAAGTTCCCTGGCAACAACTGTTGTATCTTCAGATTTAAATTGTCAACGTCTACATTTTTTGCCGCTAAAATTGCTCTTTCTGCAAGCCACTCATGATTTATGTACTGTGTGTGTACATCGGGAAATATTTGTTCAATGAGAGTATCTTGCGAATCAGCGATTGTGCAGAAATCGGTCAGTAATTTTACGTATCCAGTTTCATCTATAGCAACTTTTCCATCACCGATATTTAAGAGTTGTTTTGAGAATGTTTCAGCGGATGGATCTTGAAGCATTTGAACGCGCATATTTACTTTCAGCTGTAGTTTTTCAACATTACGCCACAATGGAGACGATTTTAAGCAAGCGTTGATCTCATCAGTGTATGTTGAACGTGGAATGACGGGAAGTGTTTGTCTGAAATCTTTTGAAAAGACCAACAGAGTGCCACCAAATAGTTTATCGTTGTTTTTAATATCTTTCAATGTCCTGTTCAACGCCTCAATGAAAAAATTTTTGAAACAAAAGTTGTAAAAAATGAAATTTTACAAAAAAATTCTCTCTTTTAATTTTCGTATACAACCAATATTTCCATCGTAATTTCAAAATAAAGATTCATAATGATTGATTCAAATTTTTGGAAACAATGAAAATCTTAATTGTGAAATTACGGCTTTCCTATTGGTCCTAAGAAAAAATCATAAGAGACATTTTTTTAATAAAATTAAATTAAAATTAATTTTTTATAAGATCAATATTTTTGGCGTAATGTCAAAAACTTGACAGCATTAATTGTATAATGTTATTTTGAAATCACGGCAAAAATCCTGGCCCTAGTTATAATGTATTTAATATTTGATTGTACACACATACATTTACATATTCATGTAAATATTAAACTGTTTTACGAAAGCGAAAAATTTTACTTTTCATAATTATATCAAAAATATATTGTTAGAAATGGTAAAAAAAATGAATACAAAAAAAAGTTTGGCCAATTTTAATAAAAATTAACTTTCACCGAATCTTTTTTGACCATTTCCAACAACATTTTCGATATAAATAAAAAAAATATATAGTTACAGCACAAAAGCCGTTGTTGGTGGGAGCTCGTGCCACGTGTTGAGTAGTTTTGAGGTTATGTAAATCACTTGATTAACTAATCGTGCAAAATGCACTCAAAAGTAATAATTGTAATAAAATAGGAATAATTAATAGTTAATATGAGAGTTACACTGAGATAGCAAAATGATAATTGTAAACGTTACTACTACACTTGATGCATAAACAATAATGATGGCCGAAAACTGTGTAGGGAGTGAGAGAAGTCTTATTGTGTGAGAGAAACAGGAGACCGGCTTCGGTGTC